AAGTGGGTTCTAGAGAGAACTGGTAGCTAGTAAATCTAAAAATAAATTAAAAATTAAATTTCCAGAACTTTGTGAAGAATGGGCTCTTGCTGAATGCGAAGGAGAAGGCTGGTGGCGTGAAACACACAACAGTCGTGGTCAATGTGACGTAAGATACGCCGGCGTTGCTCCAGTCGAGCGCGCCGCGTCCGCTCCCGCCACCGCTCTCGCTGTTCGCTCTGCTTTACATACCGCTAAGAGTAAGTATTAAAACGCTGCATATGTAACGTTACGTAAAGTATAGATTACTCTCAATAATATTTATCATACTGTCCAATAGCCTATTGGATTCGATTTGACTGAAATGTTTCGATTCAAGCGCCATGGACTATCACGTACTGGTCTCCCAACAAGAGCATAACATCTGTCTTTCAAAAATAACATTTAATATATGCCGATAAAACATAGATTGAATGAAATAAACACTTTGTTAGTGTAATATACGTTGTATACAACTATTAAAGTAGTTATCGTGTACCTATTAGTTCAGAAGCTCCAGAAGCTTCCTACAAACTAACGTATATACATCTTCACAATATTGACAATATGAAATGTGTACCTTACAGCTGGAAATCTAAAACTGCCCAAGGTGAATGTGGATATCAGTTCAAAAGGGATTATCGTGTCGGATGCTGAGTCACAAGAAAATGTACTAAGTGTATCAATATACAGGTATAAAATTAATATAAAAAATAATCGAACTTCATGAGCAGCTTTGTAGAAAAACAAATGCAATTCATAATGCCATAAACAATGCCAATAAACAAATAATAATACTAGGAAAAACATAAAATATTTGTTTTTTTAATTTATAATAATCATTAACACTGATATTCAGTTAGTTGTTATTTCTGTGCAATCTGTATCTTTTTCTATCTTTTCCAATAAAATAATTTATGTAGTTTTACAGTTTTCCTGGATATCCAACCTACGTCCAGGTCTACGCGAATTAAATAAAATGCGGGATAAAACTAAAGTTATGTCAATAAAATCCCTTGTCCGCCCACTCCATACTCTACGTGTAAACATTTTTAATGTATATGTATAATTCATCTTAGACATAGTCCAATAAATTAGACTTTCTGCACTCAAAAACTTTGACTTCCGGTACACAGCGTAACTGCTACGCCGTAGAACACCTACGTATTTTCTTTTTAGGATTTCCTATTGTTCTGCGGACGCCGCTAACGCCCGCGTTTTCGCTGTGGTCGAAGGCAAAACTGCTGGCGCGAGTGAGACGCATGTTGTGCATGTGTTTGTCTGTGCTAGACGGAGACAGGCGAGGGCTCTTGCCCTCTCTCTCGCACATGCCTTTAATGACGCCTATCAGGTAATTATTAGCAAAATTTTATATAAGCTTTCATTTAATTCCTATAAATGTTTTCTAATTACTGTTGAAAGTAAAATCCGGTCCAATATGGACATCATTAACATATTTAATTCGACATCACAAGCCTTATTTTATGACGTATTGCAAATATTTCACGAAAATTTGAATAGTAAATTGTATGTCATTTGTGTAATTTATCTCTATAAACACAATCACAATGTTCGTTCCCATACTACTCCGATACGGCTCGACCAATTCTTATGAAATTTTTAATGCATATTCAGTAAGTCTGAGAATCGGCTACTATCTATATTTCAACCACCTAAGTGATAAGGGGTGTCCACCCTAAAAAAATATTTATTTTATTTTATTATGTGACATTTAACAATTCATTCAACCCTAAATTTTCACTATATTAGTATTGTAGATAGTTATTTTTTTTGAACTAAAAAAATGTTTCCTAGAAACAATATATATGGCAAAACAACGTTTGCCGGGTCAGCTAGTATTATTATAATAATAAATGTATTTATGACAGAAATATGGTTGTGACAAAATTGATCTTACGTTAGTCCCCTTGGAGCCCCTGTGTTGTGGGTCACTGGTCACTAGATTAAAATTATTGCGTGGTACATGATGCATGTATAAAACAATTATTTTAAGAAAAAGTAGTCTTAGTGCTACCAAACACAAGTCGTAAAATACCTTATGTACGCGTGAATGTAATGAAATACTCATAGTATGTGAATGGGTGATATTACATCATGACTTTGTATTGATTTCCAAAATATAATTTTTAAATGCCATCTCTGACAATTTAATCGAAAGGGTCAAACCACGTTTTTGTCATACGGGAGTTATACTTAGTGTCTCGACTTAAATTTAAGGGTAAATTTGCGAAACTCAAATAAAAAACCAGGATGTCTTCTAAAAAGAAACTTAAAGCTTTATTTTACGCGTACGTTTAAATCCTCTTAGCAAGCTAATATTTGTATGTGTTAATTTTCTTAGGCATGGCAAGCCAGTGAAGCGAGTTCACTTCAAGCGGGTGGCAGGCGCCGAATAACTCCTTGGGTATGTCATAAAATTACTATGTACTATTAAACAATCAAATATTACGCTTTTAGGACTTCATTAATATGTATTTAGGTTAAATTCAATATAAATATTAACACATTTCTATACATTTTACTTTTGTTTTTTTATATTGCTTAAACATTATAGATAAACTAAAAATGTATATAAATTCCTTATAAACTGATAATAATATTAAAGCCCGTTTATTTCCAAGCTTTACAAAAGTAGAATATACAGTTTAGATTTTTTTATCCTAACTTCCTTCAGTACCATTGATCGGAGCCCCTTCACGGGTAAAGGCATAATCCAGCTTTTTCCAAATATCTCTGTCCATGGCTTTCTTTGTCCATTCGTTTACTGCGAATGCTTCTTTCCTTCTTTCATTATAAACTATAGAGTTAAAAAAATCCTTAAAGGTACTGTTTAAAATCAATAAATTTTTAATGATATTTTTTGTTGTAATATTTAAGCTTTTTCTCCATTGACTTGAGTTGTCTTTTATGTTAACTCTGTTTCTCGTTCGTCCTTGCCCTATATACTCACAGAGTAGAGAGAAGTTCTTCTCAGTTCAGTTATTTTTTTTCACATATAAAACTACTTATTTCCGTTAAATCTTAACATTTCTAAATAAATATATGTTAAATTATGCTATATGTTACTCAGGGCAATCTAGCATTCTAGTGGTGTTGCGGTGTATATTCTACTATTTGAAATCGGACCAGATTTTGAGTTTATTCGTTACATTATAAATATCAATTATACATATTATACAATTTTTAGGCAAATTTCTCAAGTGATTCTGATGAGGACACCGATAATGAACAGTGGCAGAGCCCAGAGCCGCTGGTGACGTTTTGAACTCTTGGACAAACTAAAAAAGTAAACTATTAGAAGACAGATAACAACGGAGAAGAAATTTTGTCAGTTTTATTTGTATATAGTTTTTGGTCTGATATGCGCAGGAGTGCCTTTTGACTCCGCTAAGATAATCCTTGGCGCACGCGCAGTGATTCGGCCGTAGTAGAAATTCGATATTATTTGGCCATTCTCAATAAACTATTCACTATTTTCTCAATAAGACCTCTTGTTTCACTCACTTTACAGATTTTCATGAATATATTTTACAAACCTAGTTCTAACAATATTAGGGGCCGTTCAAGTATTACGTAAGCAGATTTACTGCAATTTATCCCCGATTGTCAGTAAAAGTAAGCAAAGCTCTCAAAAATAGTACATAAACGTATTAATTTTTTGTAGGAATCCTCCAAAATGCATTTCGTTTTCAAGCATAGACAATGTGTGGGTAATATGTGTAAAAAAGTAAATACTTACTGTTGACGTAATCACCAAGTAAGAAAATCAAAGAACACCCCTCCACCCCTATAGTGCTTAAGTAATACTTGAACGATCCAACTGACACACAAAAATACATCTTATTTGGTGCAGTTGATTTATTTTAACTTATATAGATAATTAATGTAATTTTAAATCTATGAAGTATGTGTAAATATGTTTTTAATATTTTTAAATTTTTATCGGTTATTAAGATTATCATAAGTTTAATAATGGATGTTTAACAATCTTCTTTTAGGTATCTGTGTGCACTTTTTTTGGCAAAGGCCTCCTCCAAATCCCACTCTCTGCCATGTACCACCTGCTATTTTATTAAATTGTTGTATCCACCTTCTAAATTGTCTTCCTCTTTTTCGTTTGCACCTTGGGCACCAGTTTAGTAGTTTTTTGCTCCACTTTTCTGTTCCTTTTGCCATGAGCCCATTTCTACTGTAGTTTATTATTTATTAAAAGTTTAATATTCGATAAAGGCCATTTATAAGAACAATATTATTTTCTTAGTTGTAAGTTACATAAGACATATTATATTGTAACTAATTATACAAAATTAATCGTTGTTTTATTTATTCGATATTCATAACCTCTATTCGATAAATAGCATACTTGATTCTGACTTAGGGCTGTTAAAGGCTATTTACATTTAAGAAATATTCAAATAAATAAATATTTATATTCATATTCTATATTTATAGGTGAGTTATTTTACTGCAGAAATGCGAGCTTATTAATATTTCGGGTAAATGCTCAGTCGTACCTTGAGGCTCCAAATACAGGACATTCTATAATGAGATTCATCGCTGTCTAATTTGTTGGTCGCACATACATATCGGATCTGATCAGGCTAAAATTGTGCAGGTATTCAGTAAACGCCCCATGTCCCGTTAAGATTCGCATCATTTGTGGGCTGGGTGTTTTATGTCTAATAATTTTGTAGCCGTCTATAACATTGCTTATAAAGAATTTAGATATTTGTAAATGTGTTTGTTAATTAACAGCAAGTTAGTATGCATCCGCAACACAGCCGGTAGATTGCGGTAACGTAATGGTAATAAACCCCCCCTCCCTAGCTGACTGTATATACTCGAAATATGTACTAATATAATACAAAACTTGTGTATATTCTACATACAATATAAAAATGAGTATTTTAAATATAAATAAATAAATATTGATGTTTAAAAGGCACCGCACTTGCGAGCCCTCTGGAAATGTGAGTGTCTATGGACGCTAACTGAACATCAGGTGAGCCTTGCCCGTTATATTAAAAAAATAAAACTTAGAATATCGTTTATTTATTAAATCAATAAAATAATTTTTTCTAAATTATTCTAAATATAATATGTAACATTTACTATAACATATTTTCACCTATGATAAGATTCAGTGTAGAGTTTCAGTAAAAAAAGAGTCAAAAACCAATACGATATTGACCTACTTTTCGCAAAATTTTGAGTTTGAATGAACATAACTGAAGCTACATATAACATCAAATTTCCTATACAGAAAATATATATTATGTATGTAGCAGAAATCAGAGGAATGTAGGCAGAGAGGGTTAAATATATATAATAGTACCTTACTATTATTATTTACTTACCTCCATATACCATAATGGAGAATGAAGTTTTGGTTTGACACATGAATCGCAGTTTCATCCGTTTTCAGAAAAACCTTAATAAATATAAGACTGTCTATTATTGCCTAAACTAAATAGGTACTTCAATTGTTATTTCATAGGAATCACATAGTCTTTAGTTAAAACGGCACTGTTGGAAGAGTTTCAGCCTACGCAGACCGAGTTGTGAGAGGAAAAGTGGCGAAGAGCATGCTCTGCCACCATGGTGGTTTATCATCATATAGTCGTAACAGTTGGTGACACCATCTCCATTGCAGTCCTGGAAACAAATTTCAATATTGTTTCAAATTTTAAGTAAACAAATATTTATAAAACTTTATATTGATTTTATATAAGATAGTACCGGTGACTCTTAGAGCTGTTGCTTTCCTCGCTGAACAAATAAATATCGCAATACAGCTGTAATGTTGCCAGCATTAAAGGTACACTGCTGCAGGGGACAATTTTTCTAAATTTGTTTTAATTTTCTGTTTAACATTTTTTAATTATTAATATTATTATTACTATGTAGATTAAGAAGATTTTAAAATATGTATATGTATAAATATGTTGGAATGGTCTAAGATCCCGCTATACAACGACCTTCACCGAGATGCTTATTTAATGAAACTTATTTTATATATAATTTAATATGTCAATACATATAATACATATGGGTTGCCTAGCAAATTTCAGTCCAGAGTATGTTTAATTAATTTAAAAAAAAAATATTTTTTTAAACATTTCACCGCTATGATTATTAGATAAATTCTATACCAATCGAACGTATGAAGCCCATAGAATATGCAAACTTAGGTTGTTTTTAATCAATTAATTATTTATGTGTATATTTTTATGTGACACTAAAGTATAGGGGAAGATGTTACCCTTCGTACGGGGGCACATTCATACAGTCAAAATAAAACTTGAACGAAAAAAGTACAGTTTGTTTTTGTATGTGTGATGAGTTGAGGTACGAACTATACATCACGAAGTTTCGCGAAATTCACGATAGAGTGAAGTTACAGGATGGACGTGATTTCGGCTCGGTAAGTAATTGATCAATGTTTTTGTCTCTTGTTACGTAGATAAAATAAGTTTTCGTGTAGAGTATTTATCAGTAACTAGCAAAATATACTTAAGATACGTCTCAATACTTAATTTAGGACGTTTTCCTATTAATATTAAAATAAGTTATATTTTGTTGTATTCGTTAGTGGGGTACTTTCGGACAGCATAGATGGGGCACATTTGAACGAATTGTCAACTAAATTTGTACGAAAATATTTTGTCGACACGAACTGTCATTTTCATACAAATTAAGTTTTCGACTTGCTACATACACTACTGTTAAGGCATCTTAACTAAACCCTTTGGTAGGTAGGAAAGATTGTGTTAGTGTGTAATTGTTGTATTTGCTATCCTCGATATAAATATATATAATACCTATTTTTATTATCTTTATAAGGTTGATTTTGAGCCTGTGAACAGATGTTTGAATAATTACCAATCATCAAATAGTAGTTCCTTGAGTGTTTTGACACCAGAAGCGTTTGACCCCATCCGCATGTTGTAAGAAGTAATAAAACAAACAAAATGACGACGACGGCCAGGAAAACCACGAATTTATACTGCCACACCCGAAAATAAGAAGTGCTAATCCGCACCAAAGATTAAAAATGTGATTCTAAATTTAAGATACCTAACTAATTAAATTTTGTTTTTCTTAAGAAAAGCTATGTAATTTTTGTTCACTATAAGAAAAGTATTTTATTTTTGTTTAATAGAAGTTAAATCTTTATTTTTGTGTTTAATTTCATTGTTAATAAATGAATTTTGATTAATGTGTCGTTATAATCGAGTACGGAACTGCCCCACAGCGTAGAAGGTACCCACAACACTGTACGAAGGTGCGTTGATGGGGCAGATTCGTAGTTTTCCAGATTTAGTTTAATTCATAATTATGGTTGAACCATCAGATGAAATCATTTGTATTTTCTTATATGAATCTCAGATAGTTAGATTATAAATTTAAGCTTGAGATGATTGATTCATGGAAAAATAAAAAAATAAAAAAATAAAATGTGAAAACCGTACGAAGGGTCCGACCTTCCCCTATATACATCTTTAGTATAAAAGAAGGTTATAGTGATACATATATAATACTACCCTGATTAAAAATATTGATTGAAAAAAGTTCAAAAAATTTACTACATGCAAATTATTAAAAAAAATTTTTTTTTTTTATATTAATTAAACATACTCTGGACTGAAATTTGCTAGGCAACCCATATGGATTATATTTATTGACATATTAAATTAAATATAAAATAAGTTTCATTAAATAAGGATCTCGGTGAAGGTCGTTGTATAGCGGGATCTTATACTAGAAGTAAATTTACTAATATACATAACGATACAATGTTCTAGATTTAAATGTTTACGTACCTTTCCAAATCTTGCCATATAATTCTCTATAATTTTGATAGAACAGTAGTAGTCTCTGGCGCAGTCTTCGTAGGCTGAAAATATTAATTTATCAATTACCAAAACATAAAAGCTTTGTTCATTTAGAAATATACGAAGAAAATAACTTTGTTACTCTTTATATTTATTAAGAAATAACAGATACAACAAAAGGAAGAAATAAAATATATAGCTAGAGTATTTGATGCATCCTAGAACAGTTTCACGGAAAAGTACAATATTAAGGAGATTAATTTGGGAGCCGAAAAGAAAAATAGTTTAAAAGCTTAGAGATGTGGGGTCACTCTGCATCTTCTACCGCATTTACCATGGAGAGTGTTCAGAGGAGTTGTTCGGATTAATACCTGCAGCAGATTCGTCATCGGACATCGAGGCAGAGTACGAAATTCCACCCGTATCACCTCGACGTCCGCCGTTCCACAACTGAGCGTTTTTCAAGGCTGTTTTTGCCGCGCACCACCACTTTGTGGAACCAGGTGCCCACTGAAGTATTTCCGAACCAATTCGACTTAGGGTCCTTCAAGAAAAGAGCGTACCAATTCTTGAAAGGCCGGCAACACTCGCGAGCCCTCTGGCATTGAGAGTGTCCATGGGCGGCGGTATCACTTAACATCAGGTGAGCCTCCTGCCCGTTTGCCCCCTGTTCTATATAAAAAAAAGTTTATTAAAAACGATGTTAATAAACTTATTAATTGTCAGAAATTGTCATTGTTTATTCCAACAATTCGGACGTCATCTAATCGGTATAGTTTTTTTCAATCTCTGTAGTACGTAATGTGTCACGAACACAAAAAATCATTGAAATCGAAATAGCTATTAAATATACCGTTAGTTCAACCTTTTTTATCATTATCATTTATATTTGAACATTTCTTCACATATTTTTTATTATTACTGGCGTGTACCTTCTTTCCTATCCGGGTTATCGTCTGGCAGCGTGGGTTTCCCTGCATCCACCCAGTACACCCGTGATATGTAGAAGGGTCCACAATACCCGTCAGAGCACGTGTGAGAAAGGTCACATCCTGCTACATGGCATAGACACCGAATACAGTTTTCGTTCAGATTTGTTACGTAGATACCTAAAATCATATATTTTTAATTTTTATACATTGTGTTCTCATTTTTCGGCTATAAGTGTTAGCTCAAATATATTGGTGAAGAAAATTTATTTGCTACAAGCAAATACATGAATATGAGTCTTCGGTCTTAGGGTGATATTCAGAGACAAGCTTAGCACAACTCCAATACATTTTGGACGCATGGAATTAAATGTACTAAGTTACTATTTATGATCCTAATCTTAGCATCAACTTGGCAATATAACATCTCTCCAACAACTATTTTGCTCACTGTGAAGTCAATAAGTACTGTTTCGCGAAGAGATTTATTATACAAGTATACGAAACAGATCCAAAGCAGCTCTAGCTTCATACAATCCTCCAAAACAACAATGATGACCGGAAAAATAAAAACACTTTTTCGTTTGATCGAAAATCACTGTTATGTTAACTGACAAAATCTACGTAAAATAAGAAGATTATCTTCGAAAGACCAGTAAGAAATTAAGTAATCATAATAATAAGTATACCTACTAGCGGGAAATTTCTAAGCGAATTTTAAATTAAACGAAAAATTAACATTATTAATTACGTATCCACACAAAATATCTCATATTAAAAAGTTAGAAATAACTTCTAACATAATCATAGCAATTTAGACTTCAAATAAACACAAAGACTTACCGAGTACATTACTTAAAAAGCCTAAAATTAATACTGGTACTTGACACTTCATTATTATCACTTGTACCTAATCACACAACACTCTGATTTCTCTCGAGCCGGATGACACAATGATGAGTGATTTGCTGAAATCGCCACAAAAAACAATCAATAAGAAATAAAAAATATCCCGTAAAAACCAGTGAGGTGCTATTGTAAGAACTGTATTAAGGCACTCGGTTACTTATTAATAAACGATCTAATGTATTATTCTCGGAATAAAGTGACGAATAAATTAGCCGAGTTGATTACAATCGAAATGTAACATCCGTGTAAGCTTAAGGTCGCTTTGAGATGATGGATTGTGAATTGCGACAATAATAATATAATATCACGACTGGTCATATGAAGAACAACTGATTTACCTTTTTGATTTTCTATAACAATTTATGAAATAGTTGAGTTGAAATTCAAGTAATACTTCATGCTGACTCCGCTGACGTTATGTAGAAGGTATGTTAGAGATTGAGTTAAATAAATATATCTTAGATCCGCATTCTTATTCGAGAATCTAAAGCGCTGTATAATATCTGGCTCGAAGGACCAAAATGTGTGGTTCCTAGGTCGACGGAATGCTTTAAAAAGATATTGTTTTTATACTCTTTATTATCACTCACTCACAAAATAATAAATGCTAATTAATTAGATTATATTAACGCTAATTGCATATCTATGATTATAAAATTATGAAGATACTGCGTCTGGCTATGCTCTTGGTGCGTAACTCCGAAGATTTAGGTAATCGCCACGCTTAAGAAAACCTTAGTGCGCAAAAGCCTTGGCTCGTACTATGTCAAACTTTATATATATAAATATATTTTGTGTCTGGATATAAGTTTCGGAGTTGTTCCACAATATCGGCCTTAGTTGGGAAGCGCGTTTGCCCGTAAATGCGTTTGCGGTGTAGTGTGTTACACACCGATTATTATCTGTTCTAATCACACCATGAGTACATTTCTGCAGGAATTTATTTTCGTCAATTGCAGGGGTATTATTTCACACCTACTACCAGACGATTAGATCCATAAATGTTAAGGAAACCACATTAGTATCTCACACTCTTAATGTGGTTTAAGTTTTCATTTAGTTTTGGATATTTCTGTTATTGTTATTTTTTATCTTTTTAGTTTTAGTTATTATCATTATTATTATGTTTTGTTTTGTGGTTGTTTGTTTAATTCTTTCCTTTGATAGATTTCTTATGTTCTAATGTAATTGATGATTTTTCTTGTATTTTTTTAATTAATTAATTTTATCTGTTTAGTAATAACATGTTTATTGTATATATATATATACACACCTTAAATCCTGTGGTAACAGGTTTACACCTGCACCAGCCACGCACTTTCATCGCGGATAGAAAATATTTAGCATTATAGAGAAGATTGTATGTTGATCAAACGAAATCGAGTTCCAACTAATATGATTTTATTTGCCTGAAATGGGTAACAACAAATCCATGAAACAGATCTTAAAGTACTTAATAATTAAATTGATTGGGAACAATAAAATCATTTTAATCCAACTATCTATATCTATCAAAGAAAGCAATAAACTAACTAGTTATATAAAAAAAAACTTATGATACACTATTTATTCCACTGATGATATATTACTATTTTGCTTCAAATCTTCAGACTGGTTACTATTGTCACTAAAGACGGAAGTCTGCCGTGCTTGCAGATGTGTATGGGCGGTATTTAGAATTTATTCAAAGAGTCTTCTCGTTTCCCATTAGAAGTAGGGAGAAGAGAAGACACTTTCCCTCTTGGCTTTTATCAGATTTTATAATATGCTGATTGCAGACGGGTTAAAAAATCTATGAATGTTAATATTATCTAAGTAAGCCATATTAAATTTAAAAATAAATAGAAAGTTGTTAGATTTAGAAACTCACAACAGTACTTACGTGCTTCTCCACTACTAAGGCATCCGGTTTTTAACGATCCGATAACTTGGTCCAAGTATCCAAGAGGTTATAAATTATTATTCACAGGTTTATTTTTATAGTTTGTTTAATTTGAAAGATTCTGGATAACCTGGACCAAATCAAATTATGTTGCTACTTATTTATATTTTTGTACCATAGTATTAGTGAACTATTTATTAAGTAGATTATAATATTTTATGATAGACAATATAAAAAAGTAATAAACTTGCCAGGGTAATAAAATATTCAGAATTTAGAACGTTTTATTAATAAAATAAAGTATATGGGTTTTAGTTAATATAGGTGTTGCATGATAAATATACAAGTATCGATTATTGTCGGACCGGATATAGTGGACAAGCGCAATCCGGCCTTCCGATATTTTTCTCATGACTCACTCCGGTATCCGACGTCGGACCGGAGCAGTGGAGAAAGGGCCTAAAAGTAGTATATTTATTCTTAACTAATTTTTTATTAGCAGTGGCTAGGTGCATAAGACTTAACTCTAAGGTCGTGCGTTTAAGCCCGACAGGACACCAAAGGAATTTTCTATTAATGTATGACCAAAAAATACTTATTCACACGAGTTATGTAACCTAACATTAGTTAAGTTTAATAGTAGTTAATAATGAGAAGTGCAAACTAAATGTTAGCAATTATCACACACTTGAAGCCAAAATGAGCGTTTTAGTGTTGTCACATTCATAAATAGTAATATCTAACATTCTTGTTTCCGATAATTACCAAAAAGGTGGACTACACTTATATCGAAGTGTCACTTTGATTTAAGAATCCTTGAGCCAATATAGTTTTTTGTTAATCTACTGTCGCAACTCGCAGCCCAACTACCCCTAATTTTATATTAATTATAATCTCACGTTTTAAACGGTTAAGCAAGTTTCATTTAACATATCTACAACAACCGCCGCTGAACTTACCTCACGACAAAACCAAAAGCCTATACATAAAAATAATCTAGAAATCGGCTACAGTATCTAAGGCCGAGACTAACGGCAACGGCACTATTCTTTATTCCTTCTAAATCGATTTTTGAGCCTCTTTAAGTAAGAAAAGAGCAGTCTTTGAGAATGATTAAAGAGGTATATGAATAAAAATCAATTCTGGCCACTGTCAGACTATTTAAAAATAAAAATAAAAAACTGTTTAATCTTATATATAATTTAATTGATACGTTTATATTAAGGGGTCTTAAACATAACGATTATGAAGCTGAAACTTACATTTAAATTATAAAACATTAATTACCATAATTTTGTCATCCAATTTCGAGATTTACAAAATTTCTCTATCAGAGTTACGTGATATGTCAGTTTTCTTTATTCATGACAAATATTATATAGAATTGTAGGGAATATAATGAACCGAATCCTGTCAATCCAAATGCAAACACAATCTCCTATATACAAATCACGGTCGTAATTAGCCTTGATGAGCTGCAACGGCCGCTACACATTGGTTGAATACAGTAGCGTACTGGTAGGGAACATCGCCTTTGCACCCGTAGCCTCCAAGTTTGTGGATCGCCATGTAGTCGTAGCAATTGACGACACCATCGTTGTTGCAGTCCTGAAAATTGCGTAATATTTCTTAGAGTTGTTCATTTGTTACTTTAGTTATTGTAAAAATTTTCACTGCTCAGTGCTTTAATGTATTTGAATAATGATTACATTTCGCAGCTGAGTTGTAGTTTAAAGGATTACTGTGAATTATATCTATATTAAAAAAGTGTATAATAATGACTGTAAAAGATGGAATAAATAGATAGTTCCCCGCTACTAATGTTAAACATAATGAGATGGACTTAATGTAATCGTTAATAATATTGTACTCGAATAAATGCTATTTTTTATTAATGAAGTGCCTTGTACTTAAACTTAGTATATATACGCTATACGGAAATCGTAAAGTAATTATTAAATGTACGTAATTTTAATAAAAGCGCGCGCTTCGTGCTTCCGCGTTGATAATTTACGTAAAAAATGGTACAGCTCTGCCATGCTGTAACTCACTTTTCGAACTCAAACGGTTTTCGCATCGCGGTCGCTCTGAAATCAGTCGGCATCATTTTATGATTTGACATTATGAAAATGGGACTTTAGTTTATTGTTTATTAGAATGCCAAATCATGAAATACTGCTTACATAAAGCGCTGGTGAGTTCGAAAATGATTAAATCCCAGGGTCTGCCATGCTAAAACATGTTTTGGGGATAATTTAATTATCTATTTTAGAAACTAAATTCTTTGTGAAAACTAATAAACGGCTCAAATATAAGTCTTTCCACCATCTTTGATTTTGTTCCCTTTGGAGTACAGACGCTTGGGTCTTAGGTTCAAGTGCTATTAAAGATTTAAGTTGGCGCCTGGTAGATAGTACCGGTGATCCCAGAGCTGGTGTAATAAGTATCGCATTACAGCGAGGAAATGCCGCCGGCATTAAACGTCACTGCCGCAGGGATCAAACTTTTTTAATTTGTTTTAGTTTTCTATTTATATGTTTTTAAATCTTTGCTAAGAAAATAATAGTAAAATAATTTTACGACATAATTGGAGATAATCTAATGTTCCATTGATGACAAATAACATTATAACAACGATTAATTTATCGAATAAAGCTATATCACCTTATACGTCAAAGAATGTAGATATGTCTTGACAGGCCCGGAAACAATATTTCAAAGAGAATAATCTATAAAGAGCAAAAATGACGCGACAGAAAAATATAAAATGTCAATACAATTGTTTTTATTTACGATGATGTCACTTCAGTTTGTATGCAAATTTCAATGCCATGATTATGTTAATATTAATAAGCAACCTACGTTTCTATCACGGATACAATTTGGGATTTCCTATGTTAAGTGATAGTTTATTATATTTTAACGTTGAACGACGAAGGCCGCTAATGACATTGAGGTCGACAAATTTTTCGTACCTTTTTGTGCGTCACACTAGATGTCATCACTATTCATCGTTTTTTATTGATTTTGGCGCTAAAATAAATCAGTATTACCAGTAGTATTACAATATTTCGTACTTCTTAAAATGCATTCGACAACAGAGTTTATGCTATTTTAACTTTCAACAAATATTTATTCTTGGCGATATTTCTGAGACGCAATTTATTTATTAAAAGTTGCCTGGTAGGTTCTAAATATTATATTTTACTTTTTTCTTATTGAAGGTAAACCTTGCCTCTTTATGGATTGTCATAATTTATAAGTACAGGTACAATAAATTAGAAACAAGACGGGCCTTACAATTGAGCCTACTACCATGGTGAGCATTATTTGCGACGTCGAATCCCAGTTTGTTTGCGTTTGTGAATATGTTTGTATGTTCGTAGAACGAGTTAACCGTATCGAAATTGTATATATAATATTATTTTTATTTTCTTATATTTTATTTTAATTTCGACATTATCGTATTGGCGTAGTTCTGTTATGTATTTTTATGAACAAATAATTAATTTTCACACTCATATTTTTCTTTTATGCCCTTACCGCAGCGGTCTATTCGTTAAGGGGCTTGGATCCTCTAAGGATTACCTACTCACTAGCTAATAAAAGAGACACTGAAATATGCTTACCCCAAAATCTTAAAACTATTATTTTTACATTAGTTTCTCTAAATTTATTCAACAAAGATATTACCTGTCCAAATCGTCTCATGTAGTTTTGTACTGTCAAAGCTGCGCATTGTGGACTGTTCGCGCATGAAGAGTATGCTGAAAAAAAATTTGTTTAATTAAAAAAACTCTTAATATAATATATTATGTATAGTATAGTGAGATCATAACCGTAAAACGAAACATAAACGCCACTTTAAAAGTAATCCTGCCAAAACATTCTTGAATTAATTGAAGTATTTTCAATGTGTTTTATGTTAACCTTCTTTAGTATGTATGATTCATAGTTTAAAACACTGTTTTCTGATTAAGGACATATCTTCTCTTTTCTTATAATACCACAAAACCGGTCATAATGATTACCTTCTTGTGACCTTCAACTCATTGCCGAATGTACTCACATTTTTGGTTTATTGGTTCTCAGAACTTGACCTTTTAATGTTTTGGAATACCAATATCGTGTGACACATATTTGTTACGTGTTTTTATTTAAGTAGAGAATAAAGAACTTTAGTATCTCTGATTCATACAATTTTACTGTTAAATTGTAAGTAATTTCTAGACTATGCGCCGGAGAGCGACTTATTTGTGAAGATATGGGGGTACATTTGGATTATAAACCTACTGAGAAAATATTAACAGTTAGGAATCTGCCAATTGAATAAAATATATCTAGAATTGTATATTTATAATTTTTTTCGAAAGGTGTATTGAAATATAACGTGTTACACACACAACAAATTGTGCAGTTCAAAAGGCATCACACAAAAACAGTTTCGCATTTATCGCAGTGTTTCTTAATACTACAACTGGCAAACACAATAGTTTAGACATATAACCTACCATCAGTGGAGTCGGGAGATACTCCAGGCAGAGTTGGTTTACCAGCATCAGCCCAGTATGCCCACGTTATGCGGAACAGACCGCACGCGTCACCATCGCAAAGTGTGCCTTCCTTGCACCCTGACACAGCCTGACATATGCATCCTAAGCATACTTCTGTTACTGGACTTTCACCTGAAAAGATATATAAAAATCAATGACGCTACAACCTTTTTAAGTCTGGGCATCTGTTTCATGATCATTTGGTAATCTAATAGGCAAGTAGGAGATCAGCATTCTTTTAGCCTGACGCACGTCGTTGACTTTTTGGGTCTAAGGCAAGCCGGTTACCTCACGATGTTTTCCTTCACCGTTCGAGCGAATTTTAAATGCGCACATAGAAAGAAAGTCCATTGGTGCACAGCCGGGGATCGAACCTAACCTTAGGGATCAGTCACACGCTGAAGCTACTAGGCCAACACTGCTCTAAAAATATATATTTTTATTAGTAAAATATTCTAAAAATACAACAATATATAAATGTATAGACAGAATAGTACATCCAATAGGACCTTACTAGTTAGGTCAAATACGATCATTGCTTTGGGATTAACTTTTGTATCGATTAGACTTACCACTCCTTCAGGTATAAATAGAAACAAATGAACGAGAATGCATTTTTCCCTAATTCGGGCTAACCTTACAATAGTGTGTGTAATATGTATGGAAATTAGCCACAGTGTGAAATGCAGTCTTGGAAGGCCGCGAACGTTGCCAAGATCCGCGTCTTACATTGTTTGTTTGTTACTCATATTAATATTATGTAATTTATTTTTCTTTGTCCTTATTTTTATGGTAAATCAAATAAAACTTATCATCTAGACGTAGTTTCGTCTAATTGCAACGTTGATACAATGTTTTATGATATAAGAACCTGTGAATTATGCTAATTAATTAACATCAAATAGAATAAGGAGTGTTAATTTGATATACCGTAAATAATATGCAACAAATATAATGAACTAACAATCTGTGCAATTTATTAAAAAAACCCTTTTTGAAAATAGAACGACATAAGTAGCTTACGAACGTCGTAGGATCGTACTATCGTACGCCATACAATACTTTAAACCTCAATCAGGTTGCATAAGGGATACCTCTTACATAGGTAACATGCACAGACTTTATACGGTATCAGCCCAATATCAGCTCAGCCATTATCATTATACGTCACAAAGCTAACGTCAAAATCAAATCACTCAATATTGCCTAATCTATAAAATTAACGACTTTTTGAGAGTGGATAGTGATTTCATAGTCATTAATACTATTGACTATCAAAAAGACTAATATTCACTATATAATTTTTAGATTATATGTATTGATAACTTCAATTGCTATAATTAAATTATTTAACCATTTTGAATGCTTGGATGTTCCATTTTTTTATCGGCGTCTAACTTGAGGCTTCTAATAATAATTTGTATACATAAATATAGTCATTTTGATATTTAAGCAAGTTCATGGAAAAATAAGTAATTATTAACCATAGTTTCCTAGTCTCCTTTTCTTCCTCTCTAGTGTTTCTTCGCTGTGAACGTTGTAAAATGTTTACCCCAGTCATTGTAGACATAATAATATTTTTTTTAGTTTAGCTCTGATTAGGTATTTTGCCAGCCTAAATCATATTATACGCACACATATTTCTTTGACACAAACATATCTTATATGTCCAAATATTATTTAAAAATGCTATATTAGTAACATATTTATTACCAGAAGCCCAAAGAAAAAATCCAGGCGTGGGAAACTGAGGAGCTAATTAAATGGCAATAAGGAAAATTTCCGAGTTGTATTTTGTAAACAAGAGCAAATGTCACTGGATCGAGATAAATCTTTTATTTATGGTACGAGAATAGTTTGTACGTTTTAAATTATATATTATCGAGTACAAATGTATACAAAAGTACAGTAAATTTAAGAAGAACCGACTATAAATGCCAATTTCCATTCCCTTTACCTAGTGTCAATACCATCTCCACCATTAACTAGTGTCGCTATGTGAAATATATCCTCTTTGACATACATATTTTTTTATTTGTATTTTTAATTAGGAAAAATAATATAGATACAGGTTATTAACGGCTTCGAAAATGCAACTTATTAAGTTTACAGTTCGGCGTGTTTTACTACTGTTTGTATTTCCTTAACTATTTCTAAATTATAAAGAAAAATAAAAAATTACATTTTGATATCTTATCTGAACTATCTGAATAAGTCTATGAAAGCATTGGATATCAAAAACTATGAACAAAATTAAGGGGTTTATTGCATAAAGATCCGTGATGATTCAGAGCAATTTTCTCAACACATTGTTTAAATAATATGTAAAATTTTAAATTGCATCCGTGACCGTGATCTATATCCGGGTTCTTAATTGCACATACAAGATTCCTAGAGAACCTTATTTGTTGTGTACAGATAATAAAATAAAAACAAAAGCAGGACAAATAATAAAAAGATTAAAATTCGTGTTCTACGACTTGATTCTTTTTACCAACTGCGGTACGCACTCGTTTTAAATCTAAGAAACTTGGAATCAAAGGATGGGGATCCAATACAGTTTTAATGAAGGTAGTCCTAAATAACAACTCTAAGTTTTGCTTACCCTTAAGTTTATATGCAAGTTATAACCCTACTATTCAAATGATTTTTTAGTTCCCAAGTTTGTTAATCAAGATCAAGAAAATTAATGAATATACACAAAGAACACATTGGTAAACAGGAGCTATTCGACTTTCTGAATCCATTTCATTTGCTAAAAGTTCAAGTTTCTGAACTCATGTAACGATATATATTTCCTAGTCTTGGCAATTGGCATGTGGTCTGACGAGTCAGGGCATACAGAACCGGTCGGACACGGTTCATATATATATAACAAACGGTACAAAATATTCAAATAAATGGTTTGTTATTAGTACATTATAAAACATATAAACAATTTTGGTTAATCCAGGATGTAGATGATAGATAGAATATTATAGTTCCGGCAGAATAGTCTGGAGATCGGTTTGATAATAAATAAAACAGTGGCGCTACAACCTCTTTAGGTCTTGGCCTCAGATTTCTGAATCTGTTTCATGATCATTTTTAAATCTAATAGGCAAGTGGGTGATCACCCTCCAGTGCCTGACACACCCTGTCGACTTTTTGGGTCTAAGACATGTCGGTTTCCTCACGATGTTTTCCTTCACCGTTCGAGCAAGTGTTAAATGCGCACATAGACAGAAAGTCCATTGGTGCACAGCCGGGGATCGAAGATACGACCTTAGGTATGAGAGTCGCACGCTGAAGCCACTAGGCCATCACTGCTCTATAGATAGGTTTGATACTTTGCGAAATAATAATAGTTTCTGCTTGGTAGGTTCAGGGGCTAAAACACCAAACAGGTAATAAACGATTTTCGGTCCATGTCCAATCGCGGGCTAAAGGGCTATGACGGAAATCACACGATATTATCTGTATTCTTCCCTCCATACAAAGCGCATTGACATACGAACTCAGAAAATATACAAGGATATCGAAATCAAGAGACAATTAATTTAAGACAAAAATAGGAATTGTAGTTCATTGATCTTACGTCAGTTTACGAATTCTTACATTCAATACTAAAAGTTTTACTTTAAAAGGCTCTTGAATTAAAACCATAACAATAAATATGAATGAATATGACGTCGCCATCATATAACCTTCAAGTTTACATATATTGCACTTGACACAGATACATATAAGTTATTGTTATTATATATGTTTATGGAACTATATCTGCAGAGTCATAAATTTTTTTGGTACATACAATGCATGCGTACTGACATATTTTTAACATATTAACATATTTTAAATACATTTTGGAAATAAATATAGCTTATACTCAGGTGTAATGGTAAAATAATGTTTGCAATCAGGACTGTACTTTTTGAGTATATTCGTTACAAAAATACTTTAAGTATTAATATATACATTTTTTGTATAAATTATATATTCATAACGGGTCTTCATTTTATAATGATTTATGATAATTTGGTATATATACCGAAGTACAAAGATTAAATGTAATTATTAGCGGCTTACGAGAAGGATATACAAGGTCATCGTGGATGGTGAGGTCGGGTTGGGTAGGCCTGGTCGTATCTGGACCAAATCCAGGACATACTAGAGAAAGTACCAGTTTAAATTTCTTATAGCCGAGAAGTTAGGAAAGTGGATGAAGCTAGACAGAAGTCAGGACCTTAGCAAGTGCAGATCCGTGGTCTCTGCCTTCAGGAATATATGAGAGTATATAAATCAATAAAAAACACATTTTATTCAACAATGTAAAGATTAATAAATGCACTCTTTTAAACTGTTTGGTCGCTTTCTGATTTTACTACTAGTTAATACGGCTCAAGACTGATTTCTTGATTGATCTTAGGCTTTTACAATAATTAATTCTTCTAACTACTTACATTGTAAACAATCAATTATCTGTCATCAATAGCTACGTTTGCTTTATGTATTTCATGATTAACATTTGAATTGTCTATAAATTAGCAATTATGGTCTAGAATAAACTGTTTATTGCGCTTTTATGAGAATGGTGAAGGAAAATTAATTGCTTTTAAATTATATGTATCATCATTTAATGGTAATTTAAACGAATTTACTGGCGATACTAGCAATTGGGGATCACACAGTCAAAATCTACACATAAAGCCGTGAATACTTTTCTTTTACTTCTTCCGATATAATAATATAAACTATTTCGTTACTTAGTATAGATTTATTTATTTATTTATTTATATACTTCGTTAAAGATAACGTATATAAACTCTTAAACGTCAACCTTTTATAAGCTATTAAATGGGTGGCCTTACAGTTGACAAGAGATTTCTTCCAACAACCCCACAAAAACCCTCTAACCCCAGAAAAAAAAGTAATACCTATTGAGGGTAAATTACGAGAAGTGCATGAATAATTAACAAAAAAACGTTAAATTACATATATGACACTAGAAATATGCTAACTAAACTAAAAAAAAAAACATGCAAAAACAAATTGTAATGAGTCATAATTAATATATATAAGTAGCTAATTACGAGGCAAAAGTGAAATGCACAAAGAGAAGATTTTTAAATTAATCTAGACTTCATAATAGTGTGAATGCGAAGTGTCATAATTTTTCTATCCAAACAGTATTATATAAAATGTATTATAGCGAGTGCCAGGCCTCAAAGAGGTTCATGATACTTTCCAGCTCAATGAACTCCCTTAATTACGTTAAATATTAGAACATTCTATGATATCTGTTGTTATACATATACGTACTCACACCTCAAATAGCAATTGAATGTTGTGTCACTTTGAAAATCAATTTACGAGATAAAACATTCTTTAACGTTTTAGTTTATAATGAATAACAACTGTCAAACACAATTCTGTTATTATTTATTTATAAAAGCTCGGCACACTGGTACCAGGTACAAGGAAAATAAAATACAATTTGTAATGTGACAAGCACTTATAGGCAAACAGCATACACGAAGAGATAATAAAAAATAAACAAAACAATTAAATCATAAAAACTAAACGAAAATCGTCGATTTCAAGTGAGAGGAGTAACTATGGACATCTAGACCAAGCTCGTTTATTAGAATTATATTAATATCTGTTATACTCTGTTAAAAATTCTATGCTTTACACTTATGTCCATAATTGTATGTGTAACGGTAAATTGTATTTTATATTTGTGAATATATTATAAAGTAATTAAGGAAATCTTATAAATCATAAAAACCTGATATTATACTCTCAATAGCGTTAAGTTAAATCTATATAAAAATATGTTGCTAAGCACGAAACTCGAAGACGGCTGGACCAATTAGAGTAATTTATTTGTCAAAGATTTACGAAGGTTTTTATGGAGCCAAAACTTTAATAAATACAAAAAAATCGTTTCATTCAGGTTTTTATTCCGGAAAAGTGAACAGTGGTAGCATAGCAAAAATTTCCATGTATTGTATGTATCTACTAAAAAGGCTATATAAAATGAAGGCAAAACGAACTTTGAAACAGCTAGATTATATTAAAATTAATTATTTTGCGCAATAAAAATCCCTTATTTGTGAATCCATTATCAGACTTACAAAACTTATCAAAGTTTGTATACAATAAGATACAAGTTGTCTATATATACGTGAATATTTATGTATAAAACAAGATTATAAAATAAATATAGCTTTAAAATGTATCGACTAACAAACACACTTTGCTAATTTTAGGAACTTAAAAACGATTCTTTAATAATACATACCAATATCGGCCGAGCAGAAGCCAAGAATCATTAACAAGGCACTGAACTTAATAATTGCTGAAGCCATTTTATTAATATTTAATAACTAGATACGTCGGATGCTCACGCGCACTTATCCACACTGACATTGAATGTGGCCTTTGGCCATCTTATATGGACGTTTGGACATTGAAACATCGGGTTCCGTAATAAATGCTTTTTTATTTGTCAGCTTTTAATGCCTCGTTATTTTGTGGATTTATTGGGACCGAGTGCGTTGATCTTTCTAAAGCTGTTGCTAAGGAAATCAAGTTTTGTTATATTTTGTAAGTCAAACGAAAGCACATAATATTAAAGACCACAGATGAGAATGATGGTTATAGTAGTTGTTTGAACTATTGGGCTATGAAAAGAAAAAGAACTTCATGCATACTATTAATTGATATTTTTACATAATCTATTTTTTTTAATGAAGGTTATAAGGTGATTTAGAAGTTTTTATAAGACAGTAGGCCTACCCCGGCTGGGCATTTATTTAATTTAAAATTTATTATTATATATAAATGTTGTAAGATTTAAAAAATACATATTTTGTATTTTATTAATCTTAACTTTTAAAAATTAAGGGAGATCCTTTGATCAAAAACGTATCATTTGACAGACATACGTATCCTTTTGTCAAATCGTTTAAATCTGTTCGTGTATATAAACATTATTTCTGTATGCATATCATTAGGAAAATTAACTATTATTGGCTTGATTGTGACACATCTTAATGATATAACTGAACGGATTATGGTAATTATTTTGAGATGTGTGTTTATGATGTGTAATTATCAATATGATTCAATGAACTTTAGTATATTAAAGAGAATGCCGGTACTGCAACAGGATAAACAAGATTCAACGATGAGTATTAAGGCGGAACAGAAATTGGACATTTAATAAATACACAAATTTATGTTTTTTTTTATTGAACGGGGAGCAAACGGGCAGGAGGTTCACCTGATGTTAAGTGATACCGCCGCCCATGGACACTCTCAATGCCAGAAGGCTCGCGAGTGCGTTGTTATATTTACATGAAAAATCGTTACGTTAATAGCGACAAAATGGTATTAAATTTTAAGTACATTAGGATTTTATCTCCTAATTATTAATATTATTTCCTTCTATTGTTCATTTAGACAAATTCAAGGCTTGGTAAGCAAAATACGAATATACACAATACGTCGCTTAGCTAACAATACCGCACAAGTCATATTTTAGCCAAATGACGTTTTTTACACCATTCGATAGATTACTTTCCAGCGCGTCTAATGAGCTCTCGCTAGAGGTAATATCGTCCAATAAGAGCCCGTTATTCAAAAACTAGTAACACAACACAACTCATTGGCTGCGCTAACACCGCGCAAGTCATCATAACGCCATAGTAATTTGGCCGTGCCACGTCGCACCTTATAAGATCGTTTGTCGTTTTTAAAAAAGCGGATTTTTTGTAACGGACTGGCCCCACTGATGTAGTTTAAAGGTAAGGTAACTTAAATAAAACATAGTATTCATATTTTATCTATTAAAATACGTCATACGATTGCAATTAAAAACATGAATACTTAAGCGGTGTTGGAATGAACAGTTTCGTTGAGTTAGGCGGTTTTCTCTTTGCTTGGTTTCGATGTCTGAATTACTTACGCTGTACTTCTGTGTTGAGTTTCTGACTGCTGCGGTATCCATCGATATAATTAGCGATTTTTACGCAGTTTTTTAAATGATTACTATATCGTAATTATATTATATTTTACTTCAGAACACGAAAATGGACAAAATGGTCGATAATGATACCACGCCTGATGACTTTTCAAGAGTTGACGCTCAATGTAAAGTTATTACTTTACGTGACTTACAAAAGAGACATAGAGAAAAAATGTTATTAAATACATTGGGTATTAAAGAATGGTTTGTCCGATACTGGTTGATAACGACAGATTGTGCTATGCCACCCCCTTCTGAGATTTCTCGGAATGTAGATTGCTCCAAAAGAACTCTGATGGTCACGAGCGTCTACAGCAATTTTTAGATAGCCTGCCGAAGATGCCATCGTCTACTGTCGAGCAAACTCATCCAGACAATACCTAGAACCAGTATTTCATACCATGGCACAATTATACAAAGAATACGTCAGTAAATGCGAATCAGATTCCTTAAAATGTCTTAGTCGTAGGGTTTTTGACAATGTATTCTTAAAACAGAATCTTAGTCTGTTTCATCCCAAAAAGATCAATGCGATGTATGCTGTGGTCATAAAGTTGGAAATATAAACGATACTGAAATTGCAATACATCGCGATAGGAAAGACAAAGCTAGAAAAGAAAAAGACACTGACAAAAAATTGGCAATAGGAGGAAAAACGTGTCATGTATTTACGCAAGATGTTCAATCAGTAAAATTAGCTCCCTACTTTCAGGCTAGTGCCATATACTACAAGACATTTTATCTGTTCACAATTTTACCATGTACAATTTGTCAACACGTGAAGCTTGCTGCTACTGGTTCGATGAATAAAATGGCTCCCTTGAAGCTTCCGTTTTCGCATCGTGCATTGTGGATCAACTACAGATAATTTTAAATAGAAAATTACTACCGGTAATATTGTAAATTTCACAATTTCAGTAAGGATTTAATTTACAAAACCATTCGTCCGGGCAGAAAATCCGGAGATCCCACTATTACCGATTTAAGGGTATTAAAATATAAACCAGATGGAACTATTTGGTATAGCTTAAACTTTGACGAACCTTTGCAGCCGTTGCCTCAGCGTCCAATGAAAATTACCAATGTAAAACCTTTAGAAGAGCTGCCGAAATTATTTTCTGAAAGACTGCTTATTTCCCAAAGAAAATATAAGGATCTCCAAGATTTAAAGGCAGTGATACCTTCGAACTGCCACGCATATTATGATGAGTTACCTTATAAAAATTAAATATTTTTCATTATTAGATCCATAAACATTTTATATTATTTTTAGAAGTAGGTTAAGTATTCGAAGTGTTTTTATTGTCTTGTATTGTTTGTGTTAAATGTACCAGTTTTATTAAAGTTTTTGAGAGTTTAGAATTATTAGAAGTCATGGAAAAAATTACCTAAATTACAAAGCAAACCTCTGGTTTCCATTGTAACTTAGATAATTTTATTGATCTCAGTAGGTAAGTAGTTGATCTCGTCAAACAGTACAGTCGTAAAAGTCAGTGAGTTCCTATAATATATTATAATATTAGCGAACCCGGCAAGGGTTGTCCTGTTGGAATAAGAAAAATAAAACGGCAAAGAAATGTGTTTTTTTTTTTTGATAAAAAGCTAATTAAGCAATCTTTTTTATTTTATTGAAGTTAATAATTAGTTTTATAAAACTGTTTTTGAAAAATGTTTTTATTTCGATAGTTTTTCATGAAAGATTTTCTATGAAAGACTTATAGAGCTTAAAAATAAAAGGTAAAAACACCGCGTAAGTCTTTATTTTGTTAGAGTAAAACTGCTCAAGTCTTGCAATCACCTAATAAGACGATATTTGTTTTATTTGTTTTTATAGTTATCATGCTTAACTAAATACAATATATTAAAAAATTTTATCATGCATGGTTTGTACAAAATGTTAAAGTAATACAGTTTTTTGTCTCTCCTGAAAACTAAGCAAATCTGACTTATGCGGTATTGTTAGCTAAGCGACGAATAGCTAAAGGTTAAGTGTTCCTTAGTTTAAAAGAGCTTTTTACTTTTGAAGTTATACTTCTTAATAATAATTATGAGAGTTATTTTTTATGATGCGCGCGCACACCACTACAAACCGACACACTGAAGTTAGCTATAGTCAATTTAGTTGTTTCTATTGTTAGTGTCGTTTTTTCTACAAAAATAGAATACAATTTTTGAAAAGATTTTTATATTGTTACGCCAAAGAAGTATAACTTCTAACGCGTGTACATAAGTAAACACACGTTTTTTTTAAATAGTTTGTTTAAAATTGGTAGCGACACCGACAATCTACAATCACTGCGTTGATGTCAAAACGCGAAACGAAGTTATGCCAGGCTCTAAGGATATGTACAACGTCTCGAGTTAGCCACTGGGGCCTTCGGGCCAGTCAGAAGTTAGTCTGGTGGAGGATCCTCCCTTTAGGTTGGAGGATCTGTTCACGATCCTTCCTCCACAGTGGTGACCCCGAAAGGAAAACTTCGTTGTTCTGAACGGCGGAGGAAGAAACGTGTGTTTGTTGTTTGTTGAAACTGTTCGCCTTTTCTACAACATCTATGCTATAAATTCTTATAACTCCACAAACTTTACCGGCCTCAATTATTATTCTTGACATGTTAATTAAACTATCATTAGCCTTATTTTCATAGTATCATTTTTATTATTCTAGTAGGTACTAGTAGTACCTAGTATCGATTTTATATGTATAATCTAATGTATAAAATTCTCGTGTCACATTGTTAGTTCCCATACTCCTCCGAAACGGCTCGACCGATTCTTATGGTTTTTTTATATAGGGTAAGATCGTTACCCTTCGTACGCGGGGCACATTCATACAGTCAAAATAAAACTTGAACGAAACAAAGTACAGTCTTGTTTTTGTATGTGTGCATGAGTCGAGGTACCAACTATACATCACCGAAGTTTCGCGAAATTTGCACCGATGAGAGTGAAGTTACAGGCATGGACGTGTTTTCGCGCTCGGTAAGTAATTTTTTGATAAATCTTTTTGTCTCTTGTTACCGTAGATAAAATAAGTTTTCGTGTAGAGTATTCTATCAGTAACTAGCAAAATATACTCAAGATACGTCACCAATACTTAATTTATGACGTTTTCCTATTAATATTAAAATTAATTATATTTTGTTGTTATTCAGTTAGTGGGGTACTTTCGGACAGCACTAGATGGGGCGGGCACATTTGAACGAATTGTACAACTAAATTTGTATGAAAATATTTTGTCGACACGAACTGTCATTTTCATACAAATTAAGTTTTCGACTTGCTACATACACTACTGTTAAGGCATCTTGACTAAACCCTCTGGTAGGTAGGAAAGATTGT